GTCGTGGGAACGGGCGTGTAGCATGGTGTCGTGGGAACGGGCGTGTAGCAGTGGTGTCGTGGAAACAGGCGTGTAGCAGTGGTGTGGGAACAGGCGTGTAGGAGTGGTGTTGTGGGAATAGGAGTGTAGCATGGTGCTGTGGGAGCAGGTGTGTAGCAGTGGTGTTGTGGGGACGGGCGTGTAGCAGTGGTGTTTTGGGATGCTCATGTGCTGTGCTCCTGCAACTCTGGCCAGGAGGGACTCAGGAAATCCTAAGACTATCCATTTGGTTAACATTTTAGGAAAAAACTGATTACTATACTGGCACTAAAAATGTTTGTCAGCCAGGCTCTTTGGGGTGTTACCTATGGACTTGTGTAAACGTTTTGAATTCCAAATAAATACAATTCTTCTATTTGTGCCTCTGGTGTGTCTGAGATGGAAATGTCCAGATGACAGCGGAAACTTACACAGGCAAATGGGAAAATTCAGTCGTAAAGTGTTGTGGTGGCCTTTTAAAAAATACAAAACTAGGCTTTTCTGTTCATCCTACATCTGCTTGAAGAGTGTGGAAGTGTGGAGTGCAATCTATGCTAGAAAGAGAAAATGAGAAAATAGCTTGTGGAGAGATTAGGGAACATTTGCTACCAATTATGGCTTTCAGTCCTGAAGCCAAGTCTTGAATTCGACTCAGCAAAATGAAATAATGAATCTTTCACCGAGTGTGCTTTCATCTTCGGCTGAGATTTAATATAACATTTGGTATTTTGAATGTAGCTTTTGACGCTCCAGGAAGGGAAAGCAGCTCCGAGTTGTTTGTTTTCCCTGAGCTTCCGTCTTGTTTGGGGTGTCAGTAACACCAGAGCCTATGACAGGCAGCTGATCGCGGGGGAAGTACAGCCAAAAGGAAGATCCCAGCCAAGCCATGAACTTTAGTTCAAATGCTCATCTTTGGCAGACAATGCCATCCCTTGTGTGGACGAAAAACAGGGACAGAGCTTTGTATGGGAATGGTAATGACAATATGCCCTAAGATTCACTTTCTTATTAATGCAGGGTTTGTGCTACCGCACCATGAAAGACAACTGTGTATTTACTGAAAACAGGGTCATATTCATTGTGTGGTGTCCTGGAAAAATACGAGATCCTTCCAAAACTCAAAATCTCCTCTAAAATTTAATGCCCATTAAAGGATGTGAGCTTAATCCTCAGATTAGAAGACCCTGTTTAGAAATTTTTCATTGTTTATTCTAATGATCTGGGCCTTTTTGACCCCCTGAGCCCTTGACCTTGATCCCTACCCTCTTTATGAAACTCCCTACTCCCTTTATGAAACTCCGATTTTCCTTGGGTTTCTTGGCTATTCTCTCAATGGAAGTTCCTTCTCTCTTGACACTTACAAATGTTTGCCTTCGAGGCCTCTTCTCTTGATTCTCAACACCATTTTTCTTATAGAGTGAATTCTCTTCCAGTTTAAATAATTACAAAATCTCTATTCCAAAGCTTATCTTGCCCCCTGAGCTCTGCTTTCCTATTTCTCTATTTCTTTTTGATTGTTTGTTTGAAACAGGGTCTCGCTCTGTCACCCAGGCTGGAGAGCAGTGGTGCAATCTCAGCTCACTGCAACCTCCGCCTCCCAGGTTCAAGGATTCTCCTGTCTCAGTCTCCTGAGTAGCTAGGACTACAGGCACACACCACCATACCTGGCTAATTTTTGTATTTTTAGTAGAGACGGGGTTTCACCATTTTGACTAGGCTGTTTGTTCTCTAATTCCTGACCTCAAGTGATCCGCCCGCCTTGGCCTCCTAGTGTGCTGGGATTACAGGCATGAGTCACCTCACCCAGTCTAAATTTATTTTCTTTCTTTTCTTTTCTCTTTCATTCTTTCGTTCTTTCATTTTTTCATTCGTTTTTGAGACGGAGTCTTGCTTTGTCTCCCAGGCGGGAGTGCAGTGGCACGATCTTGGCTCACTGCAACCTCCGCCTCCCAGGTTCAAGAGATTCTCCTGCCTCAGCCTCCCGAGTAGCTGGGATTACAGGCACCTGCCATCATACCTGGCTAATTTTTTATATTTTTGTAGAGACAGGGTTTCACCATGTTGACCAGGCTGGTCTTGAACTTCTGACCTAGATGATCCACCCACCTTGGCCTCCCAAAGTGCTGGGATTACAGATGTGAGCCACCGCACCGGCTTCTTTTCAATTTGTATTCTATTTTCTCAACTTTTCTCCCAAGTTTCTATTTTCATTTCTTGTATCTTGTTTTCATTTCTTCTATCTTGTTTTAATTTCCAAAACTCTTTCTCGTTCTGTGTTTCTTTTTTATATCTGCTTGTTGTTGTTTCATGCAGGTGATATTTCTGATTTCTGAAGACAAGGATGAGTTGTCTTTAAAAGTCCACTTTCTTCCAATTGCCTTTTTCAGCTCATTTCTGTTTTCTTGATAAAGGTTTTCCTCAGATGGATTCTCAGCTGCTTGCTGGTGGTAGGGAGTGAAGCTGGGTCTGTGCAGCTCTTCAACTGTGGGCTTTGCTGCAGAGTCACCCGGCTGGGCTATTGCGGGTGTTTTGGGGGAAGGCTTGTTGGATACCCCTGAAAAGAATCTTTCATGAAGAGTATAGTTTGCTGCCACAGTCTCAGGGTGGGCCATTGCAAGTCCATGCCAGGTCTTTGTGAAAATTAGGAAGAGGCACCTTCTCTCCAGGAGGCAGCCCTGCAGGAGCAGTGTCAGTGATCAGAAGGCACCTTCTGGACAATGAGGGAAAGGGGCACCTTCTTTCAGCACACCCTGTACCAGGGCACGTGGCTGGAGAGAGAAGCTGAATCTCAGCCCCACCCGGCCCTTCAGCCAGGTACCCAGCGCAGGATGGACCTGTTCAACTGCACATGGTGGCTTTGGGGCTGAGGGCTGGGTGAAGAAGAGGGAGGAGTATGGAAAATATTACTTTAATCTCCCCGTTTCCAGCACTGCAACCCCAATTTAAATTGTTTAGCGCCCTCCCATCCCAGAACTCTCAAAATTATCTACTTTTGCAAGAGAATAAGCTCTGAAAGGCGATTGGTTTCCCAGAAGGTGTAAGGCATCTGATGTCTAGTGATACAAATGCTTCCCAAGTGCATTTACAGCCTCCTCTTGTTACATCCCTCCTTTACTTACACTTCCAGAAGGGCCTGGCATCACCAGTTCCCACATCTTCAGGAGGTTCTGCATTGCAAAGAGCTGCTTTTTAGCTCTCCCTGCTGCTGGCTTAGAATTCAGGGGGCTCAGGCTGGGTGAGGTGGCTCACACCTGTAATCACAGCACTGGGAGAGCCCAAGGTGAGCCTGAGGATGGCCAAGGGTGAGCGGATTATATGACATCAGGAGTTCGAGACCACCCTGGCCAAAATGGTGAAACCCCAGCTCTACTAAAAATATAAAAATTAGCCAGGCATGGCAGTGGGTGCCTGTAATCCCAACTACTCAAGAGGCTGAGGCAGCAGAATGGCATGCACCCAGGAGGCAGAGGTTGCAGTGGGCCAACATCACACCACTGCACTCCAGCCTGGGTGACAGAGCCAGACTCCATCTCAAAAAAAGAAAAGAAAAGATTGAATAACATTGCACTATGAGTGTATGTTCATTTTTTTTATCCATTCATCCACTGATGAACATTTAGGCTGTTTCCATATCTTTGCAATTTTTCTATATTTTTAGAACATCCACTGTCATTTTAGTAGGATTTTTTGAGAGATCAGAGTTAAATAAGTATTTTTCGGTCAGTTTTCTTTAACCAAAGGTTGGTGTTACTTTTTAAAAGGCTCTTCATTTTAGCAGCTTTTAATAAAAGTTGTATGTATATAAGATGCCTTTATGACTCTTCTTCTCAATAGTTTCTTCCTTGTATTCGCCCTTTTTCGTTTCTCCTCGGTCTTTTCATAGCCTTTGTCCAGGTTTAGCTGATGAGAACCACTTTCTGAGTGAACATACACACATGGACCATTGTACTGTTAAATACTGTTCTGTGAAATCACACTGAACATGCTAAGTCATGCATTCAGTGCAGATGACACATTTTTTCCTGCAAATCTGAACTACCTGGCCAATTTGCCTGCTTTTGCACTGACCTTGGATGACTTGGACTTTTGAATTTGCAAACTGGAAAGAGAAGACATAATATTCCTACTGATAGATGAAAGTGCATGGAAATGTCTTTTATGGCTTTTTGCTAGGTGAGAAGATACAAAGGGATTGAACTTTATTCTGTCCTTAAGCAGGAAGAATTCTGATTTTTTATTGGTGCACAGGATTATCCAGCATGAATAATGCTGGAGTTAAAGGATTTTTTTTTTTTTTTTTTTTTTTGAGACAGTCTCACTCTCGCCCAGGCTGGAGTATAATGGTGTGATCTTCGCTCATTACAACCTCTGCCTCCCAGGTTCAAGTGATTCTCTGGCCTCAGCCTCCCACGTAGCTGGGATTACAGGGGTTGTGCCAACCACGCCCAGCTAATTTTTGTATTTTTAGTAGAGACAGGGTTTTGCCATGCATGTTGGCCAGGCTGGTCTTGAACTCTTGACCTCGAGTGATCTGCTCACCTCAGACTCCCAAAGTGCTGGGATTACAAGTGTGAGCCACCATGCCCAGCTGGGATTCTTGACTTTTATAGATGAAAGAATGAAATCCAGAGAGGTCAACATCATAGCGTAAGTCAGCCCCAAGTTCTGCTGAAACCTCTTCTCCTTGACATGACCAATATCCTCTTGTCTTTCAGAATGCAGCTCAGGTGCCATATATTTTAGGAAGCCTTCCTTTACCACCAGCCCACTCCCTTCTACGTTGACTTGGAGTTAATTACCAGATGCCCCCCAAACAGGTTGTGCTTACCTCTATCATTGATGAAAGCCATTTTTTTCCTTTTTCTTTTTTTCTTTTTTTTTTTTTTTTGAGATAGGGTCCCTCTCTGTCACCTAGGCTGGAGTGCAATGGTGCTATCTTGGCTCACCGCAACCTTCACTTCCTGGGCTCAAACCATCCTCCCACCTCAGCTTCCCAAGTAGCTGAAAGTACAGCACGAACCACCACACCCAGCTAATTTTTGTATTTTTTGTAGAAATGGGATTTTGCCATGTTGCCCAGATTGGTCTCAAATTGATGAGCTCAAGGGATCTACCCCACTTGGCCTCCCAAAGTGCTGGGATTACAAGCATGAGCCACTGTACCTGGCCCATCTTTTTTCCGAAACAATGTGGAAAAATTCTTATTCTTTGCCTCCCTTCAAATTTAACAGTCCTTCCACGAAAACATCCTTCTTTCAGACAGTTATATTACTCTATAATTGGCAAAGTTGCAGCTTTCCTCGGGTACATTGTAGTCCTGAGGATACACTGTAATCACTTTGATTGATCTTGGGTAGTTTTCAGATATCCATGGCAATATATTTACATTTTAGTTGGGTTATTTCTGTAAATGTCTACTTTCAACCATTCTTTATTTTCAGAGGTCTTGTCCTCAAATTCTGTGAGTGGGAGCCCCTAATCGTAACTGCCTGGATCTTGATTATGTGTGTCATTTATCCACTTCCCGGAGCTGTCAGGAGGATCAGGTAAGAGGATGCACATGGCAACATTCTGTCAGCAGAAAGGCTGACACATTAAGGCCTCTTTTTTCTAAAACATCCAATTCTTTGTTTATAGTCCAGCTTGAAAAAAACATTCGATGGATTTGGAAATGACCATTAATCTGGAAAAAATTTTCACAATTTAATTCATCTTTAGTCAGGGGTGGTGGCGTACATGTTTGGTCCCAGCTACTCGGGAGGCTGAGGTGGGAGGATTGCTTGACTCTGGGAGGCTGAAGGTGCAGTGAGCCGTGATTGTGCCACTGCATTCCAGCCTGGGCAAAGAGTAAGACCCTGTTTGACAAAAAGAAAAAAGATTTTTCATTTGGAACTGCCTGTTTATCCCCTGCGAATATTAATAAATAATTCATTCATTTGTGCTCAGTCTTATATAGAAATTGTATTCATTTGCAGCTATAGTTAATTTAAAATAGAACTGAAGTAGGCTGCAGATACCATATTAATTGTTATTTATTCCAAAAATTCTATATGGTTCTCTCTCCCTGAGTCTTTTAATCTTGGATTATAGGTCTCCAATTTTTTCTCTCTTTTTAAAAAATACATTAACTAAAACTTATTTTTTCTCCCTGTGTTTTGGTATCACTACTAATTGTAAATATTAACAATCTGCTGGGTGCAATGGTTCATGCCTGTAATCCTAGCACTTTGGGAGGCTGAGGTGGGCATATTGCTTGAGCTCAGGAATTTGAGACCAGCCTGGCCATGATGGTGAAACCCTGCCTCTACACAAAACACAAAAATTAGCTGGGTGTGGTGATGCGCACCTGTAGCTCCAGCTAATCAGGAGGCCGAAGTGGGAGGATCACTTGAGCCCAGGAGGTCAAGACTGCAGTGAGCCATGATTGTGCCACTGTACTCTCGCATGGATGACAGAGCAAGGTCCTGTCTCAAAAAAAATTAGAATAAATAAATATTATAAATCCACATTGACTAATAGTATTTAGTGCTTATGTTTAAGTAGGAAA